AGGGTGGTCTTTTACACATGCGAAACACCGGCCAATCCTTGTTTAAACCCTTCAGTGGCTTCTCATTGCCCTGAGGATGAAATTCATGCTTTTTCCCCAGGCCTTTGAAGCCCTTCATGCTCTGGTTCCTGCCTACTCCTCAAATTACTTCTTCACACTTCCCCCTCCCACACCACCCGGCCCTCTGCTGCCTTACTTTCTGGTCCTCAGAAACACCAAGGCCTTTTTGGTATCGGGGTCTTTTATTTGCTGTTCTTTCCACTTGGGCGTCTCTTACTCCAGATCTCAAATCCCGACTCTCCTACAGATCTCAGTTCCTTTGCTCTTTCTCAGGAGACCTTTTATGACCATCATTTCCCTGGTTCTCATCATACTTGTTAACTCCTTCATTGCGCCTGTCACGCTCTGAAATTCTTTATTGTTTTTCCAATATTCTCCCACCTGCTACTCCTCAAAGAAAGTTCCTTTAGGACAGAGACGGGAACCCTGTCTGGCTTGCCTGCCATTAGATGCCCAGGACCTAGAATAATGCCTGGCCACGTGGAAGATATTCAACAAATATTTGTTCCGTGATTGAAGGAAGAAATTAATGAAATAGTGACTAATGTGGTTGGGACTATAACTACCGCAGGAATACAGAGTAACAGTTCAGAGACAGAGTCTCCAGTTACAGGTGTGTGTTGCTGGAAAGTGAGAATTTGTTTATGGTAGAGAACAGTTTTAAAAGATAGCATTTTATTTAGTACATGCTCCTCTTATAACTTATTTTAACACACTATGGCCCAAATAAGTTGCAAAGTTGTAACCTCCTTTTGGAAGACTCCTTGAACCTCCTCCCTTCCTTCCTCTCTCTTCCTACCAAAAAAACGAGCCAGTATTGATGATGGTCCTTCTGGGATCCCACAGCACTCTGTACAAAGCTTTGTCATAGCTCAATGTTCCTATGGTTTGTTAGCCCACTAGCTCTTTGCCTTACTAGATTATAAACTTCTTGGGAGCATGAATTGTTGATTCATTGAATAAAGTAGATATTAAAATTGGTCCTAGTCTTTGAGGAACATAGCCAAAAGAAAAAATGATTTTGCAGTTATCCCAGAAAGAAAATTTATAATCTAATGTTTAAAAAAATCTGAAATATCTCAAATAATCTCAAATATAGTTTATTACAGTACTGTCATTGAAAAGTGTCTTTTTTTAATGAAGAGGGCTTTTGAGGTGATGAAGTTCTTCTGAAAAAATACATATTAATTTATAATAATTTACTATTATAGCTCCTTCCTAAAATTTGATGGTGTAGCAAATTAAAAACTTTTTTCTGCCCTGACCAGTGTGGCTCGGTGGATTGAGTGCTGGCCTGAGAACCAAAGGGTCACCGGTTTGATTCCCAGTCAGGGCACATGCCTGGGTTGCTGGCCAGGTCCCCAGTAGGGGACACACAAGAGGCAGCCGCACATTGATGTTTCTCTCCTTCTCTTTCTCTTTCCTTTCCCCTCTCTCTAAAACTAAATAAATAAACTCTTTTAAAAAAAATTTTCCCCCTAATTTCCTAGGTTAATTAACCCAGCATTTGTTTAATATGTGAAGATTGCAAAACTGAATTACGTAGCTTAAAAGGTCTGCAGTTGAAATGCTGGAACAGTCATAACTACTATGGCCAGACCCCAAGAGTGTGTGTGTGTGTGTGTGTGTGTGTGTGTGTGTACACCATGGTTGGTTGCAAAGTCACTTAACAAACATGTATTGAACACCTACTGTATTATTCTGAGAACTGCCTAGGTATCGGGGACTCACAGTGAGTGAGACATGTCCCTGCCCTCTTGGATTGCATAATCCAACCAAAAGATAGGCCCACAAAAAATTGTTACAAATGTTAAGTATACATAAAGGACCATGGACACACATATGATAAATGAATGGGTTCTGCTGTACTTCATGTATGTTTATGGGAGAGGATGTTGGAAGGGAAGAGGAAGTCAGGGGAAAGGATGGAGAAGAAATGGTACTTGAACTAGGCCATGGGAGGCAACAGAGATTTCCACACAATCGGTACCTATGTTGAGCATTTTATTTTGAAGATTCACTCTTTTTGGTTATAACTAGACATCTGATCATTTATTCCTTATCATTTTTATTTTGTTAGAACTTGATTTTGGCTTGTCATAATCTTACAAAAGCTAAGATTGGGTGGTATAGCATTTGGAAATGCTCAAAAGAATTTTGTATCCTGGTTTTGAGGAGGTGAATATTACAAACATGCAAGATAAATTTTAAAATTTATTTTTAATTGCAGTTGACATACAACATTATATTCATTTCAGGTGCGCAGCATAGTGATTAGACATTTATTAATAGGTACTTTGTGAAGTGATCACTGTAGGTTTAGTAACCATCCATCGCTATATGTAGTTATTATTACTGACTATATTCCCTATGTTGTACATTACATCATCATGATTTATTTTATAACTGGCAGTTTGTATTAATTTCCTTCATCTACTGCCCTCTGCCCCCCATGGCAACCATCAGTCTGTTCTGTTTCAATGAACCTATTTCTGTTTTGTATGTTTGTTTATTTTGTTTTTTAGGTTCTGCATATAAATGAAATCATACAGTATTTGTCTTTTTCTGTCTGACTTATTTCACTTGACATAATACCCTCTAGATCCATCCATGTTATCTCAAATGGCAACGTTTCGTTCATTGTTATGGCTGAGTAATAGTCCATTGTATATATGTACCACACCTTCGTTATCCACTCATCTATTGATGGACACTCAGGTTGCTTCCATGTCTTGACTATTATAAATAATGCTCCAGGGAATGTAGTGGTGTATGTATCTTTTCAAATTAGTGGTTTGGGTTTTTTTGGATAGATATCCAAAAATGGAATTACTGGGTCATGTGGTAGTTCTATTTTTAATTTTTTGAGGACTCTCCATACTATTTTCCATACTGGCTGCATCAATTTACAATCCCATCAACAGTGCAGTAGGGCTCCCTGTTCTTCACGTCACTTACTATTGTCTTTTTGATAATAGCCCATCTGCCAGGTGGGAGGTGATAAGTCATCGTAGTTTTGATTTGTATTTCCCTGATGATCAGCGCTGTTGAGGAAGGGTGGGGAAGGGGAGGCGGTGGGCATGGATTCACTCAGGGAGTAGCTAAAAATAGGATGGGTCAGAGAGTAGGGGTGTCTGGAGGTTGTGTGTGAGAGGGAAAATTGTCAGAGGAGAACATTACATATGTGTCTATATATCTATACGTATATGCATACATGTATTTGCTTAGATTGGTTGTAAGTCCTGGAAATAAACTTCATATTCACGCAGCTTTTTACACGTACGATGTCATTAAATCTTCCCAAGAACTCTGTCATCGCTTTTCAGACAAGGAAACTGATGCCCGGGGAAGCACAGTTAGGAAGTGATGGCAGAGGCAGGCCTAAGACCCCTGCCTCTCGGCTGGAGAATGGTGGGCTTCTCATGAGGCCACAGCTGTTTCAGGGGCGCTGAGTCCTGGGCTGAGAAAGAGAGGATGGCAGGGAGCTGAGTGGAAACAGTTGCTGAGTGAGGTGGTAGAACAGCTGCTGGAAAAGTGTCACTTCAGACTTGGCAACAAATGAGCGAAGGGATGATTTCTCAGAGGAGCTTCTGGACCTTCACTACAGAAGCCATAACATAGTCCTGTGCACCAGCTTAGCATCCTGTCCTCACACGCGAAACTCCTGTAAACCCCGGGGGGGGCGTGGAAGAAGATCCAAAGAAAACCGTGTTTGGAGTTGAGCTACACACAGGGCAAGGAGCTCAGAAGAAAGGCTTCCCAATGGCAAAAGTGAGCCGCTTGGGAAACCTGGGAGGAAGAGTGAGATGTAATCCCTGTCTCTAACAGGGAAGGAATTTTCTGCAGAGGAAGCCAACTTAGGTTTGCTATTTGAGGATTTTTAGCAAAAAATAAAATGTATGAGTTCATAGTCTAGCGGTAGCTCCTCCGTTAGGTATAGCTGAATTCAGAGGTTCAGATAATTCTATCAGGGCTTTTGTCTCTCTTGTTTTTCTCTCTGAGATGAAATTCTTCACCTCAGCTTTGCTTTCCTCTCCCCTCTGTGAGGTGCCCTTCTCAGGGACGCTGGCTGCTTTTTCGTGCTCGCTAACATGGCCACACACAGCTCTCGGGTTATGTTGGCCTTGTCATTACATTTATAAAGGACTAGTGAGGCCCAATTAGGACGGGCCACTCTTAAGTCCAAAATAAACAAAGTGCTTTTGATGAAATGAAGCATGAGTTCTTCTTTTGGCTGCTGCATCTTTTATAAGTACATATGTTCTACACGTGTGTGGCTTTTGCACCCTCACAAATCCCCGAGTATTGCTTCCCCTGCTCACAGAAGCTACTGTGGGCCATAATACTTTTAATGCGTGGCATTCATCTTTGTAGGTTTTTATTTCAGTGGGAACACTTGGCTCTGCATTAGTTTTAAGTGTCCCTTTCTAACTTAATTTCATTGGTTTCCAAGTGGGGCGCTATAAATATCTTTAAGGCTTGCTGCAGCTCTGGAGTCCCCATGGGCAGCGGTGATTTTTTTTGAAGGCCAAGTCTCCTGGAACTTCCAAAGTTCAGAGCTTCCCCACCCCCAACGTAGAGTCGCCTCTGACTCTCTACAGGCTGTGAAGGTTACGGCGCACATATGTGTGCACATGCACACACATGCACAGATGTGCATGTCCTGTTTATTTGTTGTCATCAATACGTGTGGTAATCGCTGAGCTAGAGGGAAATAGTTTAGCTTTTAAATTAAAACTTTATGGTGCATATTGGCAAGAATCCTGAGTATTTGCCTGTATCCAAATGCTGGACTCTGTCTCTACTACTTTGGTCCAGTAAAATTGTCAGCATAAGTGCAATGAATCAAGAGAACTTTATTAATTTTCTTCTGAAGCTGGACTTGATTACAGTGTAGGGACTGGTGCTGTCTGGTTTTTCATCTATTTCTCTTATTCTAGGCACTTGAGGAGGCCCAAAAAGCGATTCAGCAACTCTTCGGCAAAATCAAAGATATCAAAGACAAAGCAGAAAAATCAGAGCAAATGGTGAGTTTAAGTTTCTTCCTTTTTGTACCAGAAGAGGATGTTTGCATCTCATCATCATAATGACCTATACTCATTAATAGACTTTTACTCCCATTTGCTGCCAACCACAGCACCCACGTCTCTAAAACAAGCCCTCTGAGTACATTCTGGACCAATGCAGGAGGAGGAGCTGCTAGAGATGCAGTGACTCACATTCCCTGCTGCCCCACATTTGCAGCCCTGTGTTTACATAGGAAAAGTTTCCCTCTTTCCCCAAAATAGTTCCATAGCCATTTTGGATTCCTTTCTCTAGCATTTGTTTATATCATGTATTTTATATTACACATAGTGCTAGGCTTGTGTTAGTTGCTCGGCGAATGTAAGCCATTATTAAGATACACAATATGTAACTTGGTATCACATGAAAACCGGCCCTGGGTCTGGGAGGCGGATGTGTCCTGCCCATGATACATGCTTATGGTTTTGATTAAGTTCTCCCTCTACAAATCCATGTCCTCCGGGGCCGTACTGCGAAGGCCCCGCTGCTGACCAAGAATCCAGCCTCACCCACTCCGCTCTGTGGGAGGCACTGTGAAATGCCAGCTCCTGGGCTCGGATTCTGACTGCATAATGTAATGTCTCTGAATTCTAGTTTCTTCAACTGCAAATAAGAATAATAGCATCTAGCTCAAAGGGTTATAAGAACTAAATGTATGAAGGACATTGAGCACAGCGCTCGGCTTGTGTTAGTTGCTCAATGAATGGAAGCTGTTATTACTTTCATTTTTTTCCCCCTACTTTTTTTGGTTCCAAAAACCTTGCAGGTTTGTGGGTGTATAACTGAGCTGGGTGAGCCAACTGAAAATACAGGTCACATGAACTTAACTCACTACTAGGTTTTTTACTTTTAATGGGAGATAGATCTTTCCAGTGACCGTTATTTGTGCATGGTATCAGGGTATTCCCTTCCTTCCAGGTATTAAAAGAGCCTGGGAAAGCAAGTTGTTCTTCAGATTTTCTAGGTCAAAACAGACTCCAGCAGTTAGTAGAAGATTTCACCTAGGTGTTGGTCAAGCTGGAGAATGGTTCCCAATTCATTATTGAGTGTACCTTTCTAGTGAATGAAATACACAGTTGAACTTCAGTTCTCAAACAGCTTGATTCTTGAACAGTTTGGTTCTTGACCAAGTTGTTCACAAAAAAAAAAAAAAAAAAAAAAGTCTTGGTTGTCTAACAAAACTTAGGGCCTCTATTCTCTCCCCGACAACTTTTTCATGCTGATACCTGTATGATCAGTCATGCGTCTTTCAGGCAACAAATAGGAAATTCAGTTTTCAAAAAAATTACTTGTACAGTTTTCCGGAATGAATTAAGTTCAAGAACCAAGGCTCCACTGTACTTGCATTCCCAGATGCAGAGTTCCTTCCCCTTGGACCTGCCGGATCAACAGTGTCGGAATTTTACTCCTCAATTTCCTTCTCACTCCCTGAAGACATTACACGTTAAGCTTATGTTACGGGGTTTACATTTTAATCTTCAAATTGGAGAGAAAGTCTTTCTTTTCTGGAGAATGGACAGTAAATCCTAGTTCCATGAATAAATTCTATCTGAATAGAATTAGCAAACTAGTGCCATCTATTTTGTCCTGAACCGAGTAGTCCCAGTGGCAGAAGGCACACTTTTCCAACTTTGTTCAAGAGGAGATACATCGTCCTTACTCCTGGGCCCTGTATACGCCATACTAAATTTCTATTTGGATCACTCTGTTTGGGGCGCAAAATAAATTCATTCCATTTTCACAGTGAGGATTTTATAACCCTGGGTAAAGTTCGTTGAAGAAATGCCAAATTAAATTTAAATGGGCTGATTGGGAATTGTTTTCATTATGTATTGTGAGAAAGCCTATGTTTTGTCCAAGGGCTAACCTGCAGGGGTTTTTTAAATTTTATTTTTCAATTATAGTTTACATTCAATATTATTTTGTATTTGTTTCAGCTGTAACCCGAGGGTTTTTTTCCTTGTTTCATTTGCATTATTTTCTTGTAAAGCTACTGGCAAATGGTTTACATCTTTATTAACCTTCCTCCTTTTTCTCTTTTGTTTTCTATATTTAGGTTAAAGAAATCACCCGTGATATTAAGCAGTTAGATCATGCCAAACGCCACCTGACCACCTCAATTACAACGCTGAACCACCTGCACATGTTGGCAGGTGGCGTCGATTCCCTCGAGTAAGCGGTGTCCACTTTCTCTTTTGGGTCCACAGGAAATGAATGTGTCACATATAGAAAAGGGCATCATAGGTTTATTTACTTCTCAGCCAGGAAAATCTCGTCATCCTGCCCCACTTTCTGCAAATCTGTTTCAAATGTTCAGGCACCAGATTTGCCTTATGCCCTCTGGTGTTCAAAACCTAACCAACAGCCTGACACTTTTAAAGTGAGATGCAAGTGAATCTGAAGGGGACCCAGAAAGCATGTGGAGAATAACTGCAAGAATACGGATCATTTCCATGTGGTAAATCTCCCCTGAGGCCCACAAGGTGATTCAGGTCCATAATCCCTCCCTACAGTCTTGGCCTTGGCAAATTTTCCTGCTTGTGTTGGGCTGACTCGCACTGTCGTTGAATGTATCATATGGAAACAGATCTCTGATTTATCATTCAGCTCCCTTCTTCAAATGCAGTAGCTTCCTGTTTGGTTTATACAGGAGCTGTAGAGAATGATGCATGAGGACATTAGAAATAGTATTAAAAGGAAGAGCTGGTTATTTACCACAGAGAAACAGTGTAAGGGCCTCCTTTATGAGCAAGATTCTGACATGTCTGTTCTCTTCCGTGGCCTGTCTCGGGCTGAGCATTTCCCCTGCCCCAGCCTCGGTGCAACCTCACGTGGGGACAGAGAATAGCGTCTTCACAGAAATTTAGATTCAGTATCCAAAGCTGGAGGTGGGGGAGGGATCAGACTCCTTCTTGGTCTTTCCCAAGCGTCTTGTGAATTTCAGCCAACCCTGGTTGATTCTCCTGTGAGTGGTGATCAGAGAGATCAGAGGCCAGTGGGAGACTGGAAGGAGGAGCAGTTGGCCTTGTCCCTTCCCCCAGATGCTCAGCTTTCCATAAACCCTCTGACCCGGCAATAGTAACAACATCACATCTTGGCTTGAACTTGATCCTATCCTTTTAAGTGCCTCTTAAGGGAAGTCGTAAAGGAAAGATTTCAGTCCAATAGTTTGTCCTTCCTTGCTGTGTGTAACTGTTGATTTTATCAACATCCTTTTTTTATGCTTCATTAACCTTTACAATAGGGAAAGTAGACATACTTGACACAGAGTTGCTTAACACTGACTTAAAGCCTACAGATTTGCATTAACATTTAAATGCACATTAAGTGCCCTTTGTTGTATCCTGGGAAGACGTGTTTGGTTTGCCCGTAAACTGTAATCCTCAAATGGTAACATCCTTACCCGTGTTTTCTGTCAAAAGCCTGCTAATCCCGTAATACCCAACCCAAATCCCAAATTCATAGTCTTCCCACATTTCCCCTCCCTCACCCAGTAAGAATCCATTATTCACATAGTCTTTTGTACCCCTACCCCATAGCACATAACTAGGATTTCTGTTTAGAACTCAGTTCGTCCTATTTGGTATTAGTTATCTGTGTATTTGGTTCTCTCCCTGACTAAATGTTATCACTTTGAAGATCTGGACCAGGTCTTATGCTGCCCCACCTCCACTGCACAGCACCATACTCTTTCAGTGCTCAGTAAATGCTTATTAAATCAAGTTGATGTCTGTTTTAGACCTCAGAGTAGGTTGTTCCACATCTGTGTCTCATGTCCTTAGTGTTTTTCTAGAGTTATCAACTTCTTACTTCCTTGCAGAGCCATGACCAGGCGAAGACAGTATGGAGAAGTTGCTAACCTTCTTCAGGGTGTAATGAATGTCCTGGAGCACTTCCACAAGTACATGGGTATTCCACAGATCCGGCAGCTTTCTGAAAGGTAAAATGTCATTGAAGAAAGTGATCTTCCCTTTTAAGAAAAGATGGTACCAGGAAGTGCTGAAGCACTTTGCTCAGCATATTCATTATAGAATCTTATTATAAGAAGGAACCTTAGCTATGATCTGATTTAACTCTGTGTGATGCGGACATCCCGTCTACTATAGCCTTACCAGCTCCTGACCATGTCTTCTAAAGCAGCTGTGTCGGACGTTTACTGGCCGGCCATTATCAGCGTGGCAGCGGGCGAGCCGTGTATTGGGATAGCTCTCAGTTATCTGCATTTGTGAGGGAAACTGTTCCAGTTGTCTATGTCCTTATAACAAACTGCCACAAGACTCAGAATTTCTAGTCTACCACATTTTCAAATATGGTTCTGGATATTAAGCTCCTTTTATTATTTTTAAGGCTCTGGGGCAGGAAGGGGAGATTGCACCATGTGCCCAGGGTGCCATCTTCCAGGGAAATGCCGAAGAGCTATTCAGAAATGTCGGAGCAGAGCTTGGCAGAACACGAGGGAAGTCACCACCCTTGGTCTCGTCCCTCCTAACGCCTTCACACTTAGAGATGGCTGATTGCTATGTCCCACTGAGGACGGAAAGCAGCTAAGACAGCAGACAAATGGTTTTATGAGCTGCCAGAAAGAAGGAAGCTTGGAAGGAGCAGACAGACTTGCTCTCAGTGGATGGGGGAGGAGAGAAGGGGGAGGAGAGAAGGGGGAGGAGAGAAGGGGGAGGAGAGATGGGGGCAGTGTCTCCTCCTCCTCCCCTCATGATAATCCAACGTTGACCTCTTTTTTCCCTTTCCTTTATTCTTACCCTCATTTACCTAATAGACCCTTATTATGCACCTTCTGAATCCTAGGTCCTGTGCTGGAGAACTGAAGGCACAAAGATAAGCCATACACACTCTCTGCTCTCACAGAGTTTACCATTTCTGTGTAGAGAAGGCATGCTAATATAAAATTTCAGTATAGCATGGCCATAACAAAACTGCTGTACTGGTGTTTGCTGCATAAGGCATAGCAGATCTTAGAAGAGGAACTGATAATCTGAACCTTCAGGGGCTGAGAATAGGGGTCATAGAAGAATTAGATTTTAATCTGATTTTAAAACAATGGGTAGGCTCTTACCACCAAGAGAGGAAGAGGGAATAGAAGAGAGAGAACACTGTAGTGTTTTGGGAGAAGATGGAGAGTGAAAGCCTGCCTAGGTAGGCAGGTTGGCATCCATATTATAGATTCTTGCTAAAGAATTTGTTCTTTATTTGGTGGACAGTGAAAGTTTTTAAGCAGGGAGGGCCATGATCTCATTTGTATTTTGTAAAAGTCTGGTACAAGACACTGGTGGCTGAGCCTATGTTCTGGACTAGAAAAGAAAAGGACCATACCACGTGATGACCATGAGGTCAAGGAGGTGTGCTGAGGAGTTGGTTACCAATTGGTTGGCGGTGTTTGATGGGTATTGTTGGTGGCAGGAATGTAGCAGAACCGAATTTTATTTATAAAACAACTCACCACCCTGGCTGGTGTGGCTCAGTGGATTGAGTGCCAGCTTGCAAACCAGAGTCACCTGTTGGATTCCCACTCAGGGCACATGCTTGGGTTGTGGGCCAGGTCCCCAGATGGGGGTGCATGAGAGGCAACCACACACTGATGTTTCTCTCCCTCTCTTTCTCCCTCCCTTCCCATCTCTCTAAAAATAAATAAATAAAATCTTTAAAAAAATAAAAAATTTAAAAAATTATAAAGCAACATAGAGATAAACAAGAAAATGTACTCTTTTAGGACTCTGCTTCCTAACATTTTTTTCAAAAACGTAGTCTTATAAACTTGAGGAGTGATGTGATCACTGTTGTAACAACATTCCCATTATAAAGAGAAAAATTTACCACTTTGTCAATATATTTATTTCAGTGCTCAAAACACTCATTATAATGTAGGATTTCTGCAAATACGGGAGGATTTGCTTTTCTTTTGGTGGAAAATCTCTATTTGCAAAAATTTTGTGTAGGTTGATATAAAGTATGTGCTATTAAATAACTCTAAAAATAGCACAAGAGAAGAAACCTTCTTGTTTATAGTGCTTGACTAAAGTTGTTTTTCAAGAGGTATTAAAAGTTTGAGGAAAGTCCAGACTTCTTATTTTTAACATCATTTCTGGTGATTTGCCTCTGTGATATTTACATAGCCATGGTAGAACCATCTGGAAATGATAGAAATAGCTATTTGTTTGGGGGGATAGGGGAAGGCAAGATGCCCTATGTATTGCTTCAGTTTCTCTAATTTAATATCTTACTGTCTCTAAATTGTAGAAATCGTACAAAAGGTTGTATTTTGAAATCTTTGCCTGTACATTGGAAATATGAAGTTCATGGACCTCAATTTGAATATAGTCATTTTTTTCCAATTACCCTTCTGGAAAACGCTTAAACATTATATAGCATTGAAGGAAAGCTTTTTAAAATATCATCTTTACAAATCCTCCTGGCTTAAGAATATTTATGAAAGCAAATGTTTCTAGTAATTAGTCAATATTTCCTGAGGAAGAATGGGGAATTCTTGCATTCTCTTAAAACTTGTGAAACCCTTGGACTAAAAAATATTTTTCAGGGTTATACCTATTCTCTCATGTGTTCAATGGCTGGCAGATGGGGACCGCGTGGTGCAGTGATGAAAGAAAATAAAACAGAGAGTAAAAAGGCCTGCCTACCTCTGTGCCTTTGATAAGTTCCTTCTGAAGAACTTCAGTTTTAAAAGTGTAAGTTTCAAAAGTGTAAGGGTTGTACTTGATGATCTCAAAAACATCCAGCTGAGTCACTCTAAGATTCTGGGTTGAGGTTGAAGAGCCTGTCTGGAAACGGAGCATCTCTGACTAATGTGGCTGATTAATCCTCCTGTCCAGGACAGACTGTATTTGGGAGGTCAGTTTATTGTGAACTGTTGTGGGTATTTCCTTTGGGACCGTCATTCACAAGGTAATGGAAGCATCAGGGTTACTTATCAACAAATATCTAAATAATTTTCATGATTTACGGCCCCTCTGCCACCACCCCTTATAAAAACTGATAGCACATTTAGGAAATGTTAAACAAACATTAGTCCCATGGCATGGAGGATGCAAGAAACCAGGTGGCTGAACTTCCTGGGCAGCACAGAGAATCTTATTTCCTAAAAGTGATCCACACTGAGTTGCCACCACTCAGCCAGGCCAAGCCTATTTGGATGCCAGGAGGATTTTTATTTACTGCCCTGTTATCTATCAAGTGTAGATTGATTTTCATAGAAATGACTAGGAGATCTTGGTAGCTCAACACATATATATGCTCTGTTAATAGAGTGTCAGTTGATCTATCTCTTTACAGTAGGCATTGACTTTTCATTGTTAGAAAAGGAAGGACTACAAAGGAGTCAAATTGAAGATGGATTCTTTTATGTGATTTTCCCCCTCAGAATCCTATTTAGACGACTAATTGTAAAGACTGCTGTCACATCTCACCCTAAAAATGTGAACATGGAATCATGGTTTGGGTTTACAGGCCATCATTAATGTCAGTAAGGGAAATGGTTGCTCTTTCATCTGAATACTGATAGACACTTCAAAAACTATGCTTGGAAATATTGATGTGAGGAAACTTATTCTTCTGCTCCAACATTAATTATATATCTGACTTGTAGTCACCTATGGAGATGGATGCTGTTGGCAGTTAGCGCTATACGATGGGCGTAGTAGAATAATCAATACTGGTGAGGACGCTGAAAGGCACCTCATACGGGCATCCATCTCCATCCTCTTCTTTTACAACTATGCTTACCGTATTTTGCCATGTATAGTGCGCAATATTTTGCCATGTATAGTGCGCACTATTTTGCCCAGTTTTTCTGAGGGAAAAATAAGGATGTGCATTGTACATGGGTATTACCTGAAATACCTTGTATCTCTTCTTGTGTTTTATAATTATTTGTTACATAAAATTTCCTGGACCATAATATGTTAAAAAAATAAATGCTAAAATTCCTTTATAATACAAAAAATAAGTATCTAAATGTAAATAAATAAAAAATTAAAATGAAAGATTTTTTTTCCCCTGAAAGCTGGGCCGAAAACATGGGTGCGCAGTATACACGGGAGTGAATTATACACGGCAAAATATAGTCATTGTAGCCCATGAAGGGAAATGACTTGCTTACAATTATGCGGAGCTCACTAGTGGCACAGCTGAGTCTAGACTCTCTCAGGAGGTGACTTTGAAAATGGATTGGGGGTGGGATGGATGGAGGAGGGGAAAGGGGGCAAAGTTGAGACAACTGTAATAGAATAAAGATGATTTATAAATAAAAATAAATAAATAAACTGAAAAGAAAAAGAAGGAAAGAAAATAGATTGAAGATGGCAAGGGGACCTGCAAATCACAGTCTGGCCCTTCACCCTCCCTCCTGCACTTGGGAAGTGCCAGGCCTCTGGCTCTTTTTGGGCACCCCAGTTTCAGACCTCACAAGGAGACAGAGTTAAGGGACGGTGGGGCGACAGAGGCAGAGCTGGGACCATCGATATCACTGAGATGCCCAGGAGCCCTGAGACTATGGTCGAGAGTGTCCCTTCCTGGGGGTGGGACTTCCCCTCCAGGCATTGTCCCTGCAGCTTAGCAGGGAGGGGGTTCTTTGTGCGCCTGAGAGAATAGCAGCAGAGGCGCCTCTGGCCTGGAAGCTCTGTCCTGTGACTTGGCCCCAGGGGAGCCTGTGTACCTGGCCTATTATGTGGAGTCACAAGACCTCCAAGTTACAATTTTACAAAAGCTTGTTCTCGTCTTTGCTATCGGAAATGTTTCTCATTGTCTGTTGGGTATCTCCGATGGATGTTATGAATTTGTATTTGGAGAGCTATGCCAAAACCTTATTTCTGTCATTTCTAGCCCCCTTGAAAACTAACTAAAAAGGCTACAAACCCACCTATCAGAATGGTTTTAAACATTTTGAAGATAGTGGAAAAACCCTGGAAAGTATTTCAAATAAAGGCACAGTTATGTCCGTGCCACAGAAAAATCAGACTGTTTTGGGTCCTGCCTATCCCCTCATTTAAAAAAAAAAAAAAAAAAAAAAAAAAAAAAGGTTGCTAGGCACTGTCAAGAAGCCAAAGAAATTGTGGTTTTGAGCTGTTAACTCGCTTTTTCTAAAAACTTCATAAAGTTAATCCAAAGTAACAGGGTGGAGACCAAGAAAGGAAGAACACTATTTTATGATGTTTTTAGCAAAGACAAAGTCTTTGCTTTGGGCTCAGGGCAATTTAGCAGCAGCCTCAGAGCCACGCCCCACTCCAGCCTGGATGCAAGAGGCTGACTGGCGGGCAGCCCCGTGGCTGGTGGAGGACATGAGTGGCAGGGGCAGCGACGCGAACTTCCTCTCGTCCCAGCTGCTTCCCCTTTCTCCTTTCACTTACCCCGACAGACATTTGCTGAGCTCCTCGTGTACATGCAGACCCCTGTGCTATGTACTGACCTTCCCTTTCTACCTGGTTTTCATTGTAACTCAGTCTTATTCACAGCCTTCCGAGTGAACGTAAACCTTCATTCAATGGCCTTTGGTCTCAGTTAGCAGTTCATTTTGCCATTTGGGTCTCTTTTCTTTTGACTCTGGAAAGCATTCTTTTTATTTATTTGTTAAAACTTATGATCCTGATTTTGGTTTCTGGGTTGGAAAAGAAACCAACCCTGAAACTATGGGGCCCTCCTCCTGTTCTCGTTACTCCAAGGAGCGGGTGGGCAGTTATCCCGGGAATCCAGAATGGGATTCCCTTTGATTTGGACACCATCATCATCATCAGCATCATTATTAAGTAAGATTTTCCCACAGCCTAACTACCACCTAATGATAATTTTTAAAAGTTAACATATACTGCCTCATGACAGGCAAGGTGTGGCCTAGAAGAACGTGGATATAGAAAACCTATGGATATAGGAAATCCATCCTGAGATTAAATAGGATATCTGGATCCTGGTCATAAACCTGCTACTAATTAGTGTGTGACCTCTCTTACGTAGCGCCCATCCCCCCTTCCTGTCTCTAAAGACTCTAAAGGTCCTGACTTCTATAGATCTTTGCATAATCACTTATGAGTATTTGAAAATTACCAAGCAATATGTTCTCTTTTCTCTGCAGAGTGAAGGCTGCCCAGACTGAGTTAGGACAGCAAATCCTGGCCGATTTTGAAGAAGCATTTCCTTCCCAGGGTACCAAGGTATTGTTTGCATTTTCTCTCCAGTCCTTAGATACTGTCGCCATTCTTACTGCATTCATACTCACTACAATTACTATTTCCATTTATCATTCCAAAAGTATTTGGTGGCAGTCACGAGTCTGTTTGCCAAAGGCTGAGCGTAACGAGACCATCCTTCATTTTAAATATCCCAAAGCAATGTTGATTTCCTCATGTGTGTTCTTTCAGCATCAAAAAGTGAGGATTTGTTTTGGTTTAATTTAATGTGTGTCAAACCTAATATGTTGTCTGCCCAGTAAATTCCTCTTTTCTCATGGCTGTGTTTAAGAAAGAAAAATCTTCAAGCGGCAGTGTTTTTTAGGATCGTTATATAACTCATTGGTTTCAATTTGGTGAGAAGACAACTGGGAGGGGATCCGCGGGCTTATGTAACCTGGAGTGACACAGTCAGGAGATGCACTTTTACCGATCAGAGTCCTGGTCTTTGGAATCAATAACTTTCGCTCTCACTGGTAGCGTAGATGTTTGTGCTGTGCCTGGGAAGCCCACAGTATTTCACTTGTGAGCTGTTGGTTACACTTCTCATGTGACAAGCTTTGCCCCACTTGGCTGTCACTGTGCTTGGTTAACTGCCCTTAGCTCTACCTTCAAACTGTAGCAGACATAATCTTAATGTTTTGCATGTGTAGGGGAGGGAAGAACCTTCTGAAGCTTTTATTTCTCTATTATTTGAGCTATTTCAAGAGAAAGAATTGTTGGGCACAACGCGAGCCGAAGCACACACAGGCAAGCAGCATTCTTCACTGTGCTCGGCGGGCAGAGGTGGGGGCTATATGTTCATTCACTGAGCGAAGGACCGTGCCCTGGATCTGCGCTATAATTCAGTAACTGGAAATATCTTAATTATTTTCCTTTGTGCCCCAGCTTTGTAGAGGACTGCTTTCTGCAGGAAACCTGCTCCTGATTGCAATGTCTGCCCATGTTGTGGCTGTCTTCTAGTAATCACATATTTCATTTGTAAAGCATATTCCTTTGAGGACTTTATATTCTTATTCATTCGATGTAACTGTGGGGAACCGATGTTGGAAAGCCATTCTGTGAGAAGAGATTGTAAGGTATTCATAAATTATAAGCACTAGACTCTTCTTAGAGTAGGATCTGTTGTTCATCAGTTTCAAGAAGTTTCAGAAAGATGTGGATGAAGCCCAGCTTTATTGCGTAGAGGAATGTAACTGTGATCTATGTTATATCTTTTCCCCAGAGCCCACCAGACAGATGAAATTTAAATGGTTTTCCTTAACAACTTGCTTCCCCTTTTTTTAATCCTCACCCGAGGATATGTTTATTGATTTTAGGGAGAGAGGGAAGGAGGGAGAGAGGGAGAGAGAGAAACATCAACGTGAGAGCGAAACATCAACCAGTTGTCTCTTGTTATGTGCCCTGACCCAGGATCGAACACGCAGCCATTTTGGTGTATGGGACGATGCTCCAACCAGTTGAGTCATCTGGTCAGGGCAAGTTGCTTCCCTTTTTTCTCTGACTAGGGAATAAATAAAAAGAGTTTTCTTTTTTCCTTTTAATGGCTGTTGACTTTCCTGAAAGGCCTTGTGCTATTACTTCTATTTCACAAATGGACTTCACGATATTAAAAAAAAAAGTTATCCAAGGTAACCTGTGAAGTCCTTTTTAAATGACGAAGTCCAAACCCATGAGCACATGGTTTTGGTTTCTATGACTTCTCCATGAGATCAGATGCTTTTATGCAGAAGCAGGAGCTGAGCAGTCAGTGCGCTCCAAGGATGTCATAGCAGCCTCTCGGCGTGGGGCTAGTCAGCACTTTTACAGTTTAGCTCTGAGGCAGCTTAGGTGACACTTATGAAACATTTTAAACTTCAGTGAGATGGATAAATTGGACGGAGTTGACAAGAATAAAACAAAACACAAAGATTTGGAAGAACTTTACTCATCACCTAAAGTCCATTATTTTTCAGATGAGGTTCAATAACTGTACCAAAGCTACGTGGCTATTTAGCCAAGCCAAGAGTAGATGCCAAGTGTTCTTGCTACAGTAATCCACTCAGCCAGCTCTGTTCATTCAGTGAGTTACCATAAAGAAAGGTTCGGCAAGATCGAATTACTTTTGGTAATTGTGATGTATCGATACTGCTCTTCTTCCTTCTACTGTTCTTTTTAGGTTAGGGGGCTGATACTATATTTTACCTTTAGCTGCATAGCTGGGTGGTTGACTATGGTAAAACAAGTCTGCTAGTTTAGAACCTGATTTTAGGTTCTAAATGCCACCGTACGTACTGTTTGGCACAAATACAGCACCTTCCAGATAGGAATCTGAGGTTAGAATCGGGGAGAGCGGCACATGGGGAGTGGGGCTGGGGTCATTCTGACTTCTGGGCTCTTCTACGAAGTGCTTTCAGTTTCGGTATTCGGGAAGCAACATTTCCTGTCATCACTACTGGCCAAGTTTTTCAAAATGTCTCATTGCTGATTGACAGAGTAGCTTTAATATTGGCTACTGCACCCTAGCTTAATGATTCTCTCATCGAGGAACAAGGACTAAAATATCCATCCACACAGAAGAATGAGTGTCAGGGGAGTGGGAATAATAACTTCAAGAGAGGAGCGAGAAGTAGAAGCTGTCACAGGCCATGAGATTTAGAGGTTGTTTCTGGCTTTTGAATTGGTGTGTGTTTGTTTTAACAGAGGCCAGGCGGACCCAGCAATGTCCTACGAGACGCATGTCTGGTTGCTAATATTTTGGACCCCAGAATCAAACAGGAAATCATCAAAAAATTTATTAAACAGCATCTGTCAGAGTATCTAGTACTTTTTCAAGAAAACCAAGATGTAAGTATCTACCAAATGAGATCAGGTATTACATTTGAATTTTATTGAAAATTGAATGCTCTCAAGTCTACTAATTTATACTTTATTAGTATTACTGTCTTTATTAAAGAGTTCATTGTTAACCATGAATCCTAGGAGCTAACTGTACAGTTCAGTGCTTCTTAATCATTTTGGGGTCACTAACCCCTTGGAAAAATTAATAAGGGCTACAGGCCTTCTCTCCAGAACAAGGTAGTTGTGCATAAAATTTTGCATACAGTTTCAGGAAATTTACAGACCTCTGAAACCTAGTCATGGACCCCAGGGCAAAACCCCTAAAGCAATTAAAAAAATAGACTAGATCCTTTAAAACCATGATAGAGAGTTCAGTTGTATTTTTCTTGGTTCCATGTTTTTGCTCTTTCCTTAAACTGTCAGCACTGCTACTTCTAAGTACTGGGGTGGGTTTTGTTCCCTGATTTCCTAAGGTGGCCTGGCTGGACAAAATCGACAGACGCTATGCCTGGATAAAACGCCAGCTTGTGGACTATGAGGAGAAGTATGGCCGAATGTTTCCTCGGGAGTGGTACATGACTGAGAGGATTGCAGTGGAATTTTGCCATGTCACAAGGTAGATTCCAGCTCTACTGGCTTTGGTGTTGATTGAAATCAGTCCTCCTGTCCAGCAGTTCCACATTGGCTTGTGGATTGGAATCACTTCCTGATGCCACCAAATAATGGATATCACCCTCATATCCAATTATTGCCCAGTCTCTGCTCCCTTCCTCGTTCCAGGACTCTCCTTTGGCCCAGCCCTTGGCTTGAACAGCCTGCCTTCTTGACTTTCCCAACTCAAGACTCATCAACTAAATTACCTGTAGTGATTCACTGTCCCACACTTTCTCCTTTGTCTATATCACACATATTAGTTTACAGTTGTATATATGTATCATCAATTTGCTTTTCTGACTTTATGGATAGCTAGTTCCATAGCAACAGGAGTAGCATCTACTTCAGTGGCATAGTAAACCATCAGGAAATATTTATTGAACAAATTTCCCAAAGATTATAGTCTTTGGATAGTTAATAATATTGGGCACCTGAGTGTTGTAAGCATTTTAAAGATCTTTCATTCATCCTGTCTTCATTGTCCATGAGTGTAGCCCAGGGGCTACATAGGCCCTTTTTTAAAAAATATATATTTTATTGATTATGCCATAACAGTTGTCCTGATTTTTCTCCCTTTGCTCCTCTCCACCCAGCACCCCCCACTCCCCCAGGCAATCCCCACACCACTGTTCATGTCCATGGGTCATGCGTGTAAGTTCTTTGGCTACTCCATTTCCTATACTGTATTTTACATGCACAAGGCTATTCTGTAGCTACCTGTTTGTACTTATTAATCCCTTCACCTCTTCACACATTCCCCCACACCCCACTCCCATCCGGCAACCATCAGAATGCTCTCCATATCCATGATCCTGTCTCTGTTCTTTTTATTTGCCTAGTTTATTTTTTTAGATTCAATTTTTGATATATATTTTTTCCATTTTATTGTTCATTATTTGACCTTCTTTTTCTCAAATAGGTTCCTTTAACATTTCATATAATAATGGTTTGGTGATGACGAACTTCTTTAGTCTGTTCCTGTCTCGGAAGCCCTTTATCTGCCCTTTGATTCTAAATATCTTTACTGGGTAGAGCAATCTTGGCTGTAGGTCCTTGCTTTTCATGACTTCAAATATTTCTTGCCAATCCCTTCTAGGCTGCAAAGTTTCTTTTGAGAAATCAGCTGACAGTCTTATGGGAACTGCCCTGTAGGTAACTAACTTCTTTTGGCTTGCCACTTTTAAGACACTCTCTTTATCATTAACCTTTGGTATTTTAATTATGGTATGTCTTGGAGTGGGCCTCTTTGTATACATCTTGTTTGGGACTCTCTGTGCTTCCTCGACTTGCATGTCTATCACATAGTCCCCTTATATCCAAGAATTAAAGCCCAATAAGGTTAGATCACTGTCTCCATGACAAAACTAAAGCTAGAGTCAACCTTTTTTTTTATTTTTGACTTGTAGCTCTACCATAACAGTGGTGGCAACTGTGGTTTGTTAGTTATATATTCCCTTCTAATTGTTCACAATTACATTAACTCCAAGTTAATAAAACATTCCATACCTAAGCATAACTCATCTAAGAATTACTACTTAGAGTAATTCGTGTTAGCCACCTGTCTTAAAATCACAGGGTACAGTCAAGTTGGAAGCTTTTAAGCACTTGTGGTGGGAGAAATGTTTTAAGGGAAATTGGCTGTTGGTTTTGTGGGTTATATTTTTTAACAGAACTTATTTTTTAACAGCAATATTAGGTTCACAACAAAAGTGAGGGGAGGAGACAGAGATTTCCCGTATGCCCGTGCCCCACACATACATTGCCTCCCTCATTAACAGCGTCCCCCACGTGAGTGGCGCATTTGTTACAATCGATGAACCTGCAGTGGCACGTTAGTATCACCCAGAGTCTGTAGTTTGTATTAGGATTTACTCTTGGTGTTGTGCATTCTGTGTGGCTGTTTTAAGAAACACATTTGCTAGCACAAATTTAGATAACCTTTTAGTACTGATTGGAGGTGAGTTGTGGTTGTCACTTTCTAAGTCCTGATAAGCAAAGAAAGATGAATTCCTTGAGAAACTGATAAGTAAGTCTGTTTAGCACACAGTTTAGTGATTTGCAAGCTAACTATGGAAAATAAAGTCTGCAGGAGACTGGAAGTAGACTAAAGCCAACTAGCCTGCTATTGTGTCAGCTAATGGCAGTGTCGCTGCTAAGCTTTCATTGTTTGGGTTTTGGCTAAAATCCTACAGATACTTAATTATCAAATATACTTTGTTTGATTTTATCATTTATTTGTGGGGGAAGATGATCATAGTTCAGTTCTTACTAAGAATTCTTATATCACTGCTCTCGAACAACTTACATCCTGAAACAGAACACTGGGCTGGCACATAAACAGGCAGGAAGCACCGAAACATAGACTTTTCATGTGGGCAATCTGGTCTCTCACATGTATTTCCAGGGTTCCTGCTCTCTGTTCAAGGAGATGGTTATTTCCTTGGAAGACTGAGGCCTTTGTCATTTCATAAGTAATGACTTGTGAAATTACATAGAAAAGTATGCATTTTTATAAGATACTGAGTATTTCATATATATTATTAACAAAGTATTGAAAAGTTTAAATATTTAAAAATAGTAACAATGTAAACAAGTTGGTGTCCATAATCCTTGACCACTAGATAATTTCACCTTAAAATTCTCCAACAGTTAAACTAAGACTTTATTTATTTATTTTTAGAGAGAGAGGGGGAGGGAGGGAGAAAGGGAGGGAAAGCAACATACATCCATCAGTTGCCTCTCACATGCCCCTAAACCCAGGATATGCCCTGACTGGGAATCGAACTAGCAACCTCTTGGTTTGCGGGCCGGTGCGCAATCCACTAAGCCATAGCAATCAGGGCCTTTTTTCTTTCTTTTTTTTTTTTAATATCAGCTAAAACCATTTACTTTGTCTTATCTTGAATGATCCATTTGTTTGACAATATTCTTACCTCTTTATTTTGAAGGACAGAACTTGCCAAGATTATGCGTACCAGAGCTAAGGAAATTGAAGTGAAATTGCTTCTTTTTGCTATTCAGAGAACGACTAACTTTGAGGGATTTCTTGCAAAACGCTTCTCTGGCTGCACTCTGGCAGATGGAAGCCTGGTAAGACTTCCCAAGGGAGCCTGGAACGTGACCTCTGGTGGGGTGGCTGGGCTTCACTGCAGTCTCTCAGGGTATGGTGATTCCATCCACGCACTCAAGTGCTTATCCCCCATTCCAGGGATTTCACTGTGTGTATAAGTAGTGAAGATACAGAGTACTTTGCGTGGATTTATTGTTTGTCGCTTACAGACAAACATCATGTTTTTAGAATGGCTTATCATCATGTTATCTAAGTATTGGCCCCATTTTACAGACTAGCAGTTTTGTGAGGGAGAGGCCTCACTTAGTCACAAATATCACAAATACCATATTACTTTATTAACTATTGAATTTTATTATAATTTGGATATATTTTTACTTCAGGCTTTGTCTTCTTAATGTCTCTGGTGAGCAAACCAGTTCTATGTGTCTCTATAAACTTCAAAACCATGTACACAGGCTTGCAGGTCAGAGAGATACTGAAAGATTAAAACGCAGAGGTCACAGCTCTGAGGACTGTGGACCTCCATTGGAAAGGTGGAATATCGTGTAGGTTAAAGCCATTTAATCTCCATGTAATCAAAGTCCAGGCCCAAAGTGTCCCTCTGAAAACCTTCTTGGAAAGCCAGGCTTGTTGCTAACACACCAATATGCTTTCTTCAGATTTCTATCCAAGGGGAAACTGAATGTTTACGTTTTATAGTAATTTCTGTTTGCATCATTACACACACACAGACTTGAGCCCCTTGAATGCAGGAATCATGGCTGACTCATCTCTGTTTCCTCGTCACGGAGAGAGTACACAGACCTTGTGCAGGCAGACAGGAACAAGGAGGGAGGGAGGATGAAATCAAAGCTGAGAGACTCATAGCTCATGAATTTCCTCTAAAGCTGGAAAATGTTTTTAAACTGCTGGTAACAACAGAGAAGTGATAGGTTTTGGTGGGAAAATCCTTGGATCAGCAGTCAAGAGAGACTTGAGTCCAGCTTTGACTCGGCTGTACCTCCGTGAACTGCCTTCTTTGTTAAATGAAGAGACTACCCGCTAATAACGTGCCGGGGGGATGAGCCAGACACAAAGCCCAGAAGCCATACAGGAACGTGCTGAATGAATTGACAGCATAAAAAGAATGAAATTCTGTTTGGGAAAAGAGGCCATAAACGTAATTAAAGGATATGCAACAAACCAGGAAGAACACAGTTTAAGTGCTCGCTTCGGCAGCACGTGAACTAAAATTGGAACAACGCGGGGAAGATGAGCATGGCCTCTGCGCAAGGAGGACATGCAAGTTCACGAAGCGCTCCATATTTTAGAGTAAGGAGAGTTAATGCGAAAAATAAAATCTTTCTCAGCAGAAAGTAGTTGAAGCTATATAAGATGCAGGAATGGTAATGGGAAAAAATACAATAAAAAATTATACTAAAAAAGGCAACTGATTAATACCCAGCATACATAAAGAATGCTTAAAAATCAGTATGAAAAAGACAACGCAAGAAAGATGAGTACAGGGTCAAGCAGGAAATTCACTGAAGAAATAACGGTTAATAAATACATGAAAACTGTAGAATAAGATATTTTCATACATCAGGTTGGCAAAAAACATTATAAGACTAACAATACAGTATTTTAGTGCTAGTATACAAATTGATATGCCTTTTTGAAGAGCAAATTTTCATTATGCTTCAAAAGTTTAAATGTGCACGCAGTGCAAGGCAACAATTTCACATCTAGCTATGAAGTCTACAAAAAAATCCATAGCAAGAAAGAGGTAATGTTCACCACTGAAGAATGGTTAGGTGCGGTATGGCATATCCGTCCTGTGAAGTTGCACAGCCGTTTAAAAATGGTAGAATGGGAGCTAGATCTGGATGTGCTATCACAGGGAAAAAACCTCTCCTATATCGTTAAGTGCAAAATGCAAGCTTACAGGCCAGTACATATGGTATAATTCTATTTATATAAAAAGCAAAAAGCATGTTTATGTATGTAAGTGTGTAAGAAAAAAAGGTCTGGAAATGATAACAGTGGATGTCTCTGGGGAAGGAAGTTGGAGTGAGAGTAGGTGGAGAAGCAAAGATTTTTTTTTATTCTACTCTGGTATTTTGAAATTTTTTATACAAATGCATCTACATACTTTTTTAAACATATTTTTTGCATTTACATACTTTAACAAAGTTTTTTTTTCAGTTTTCTTAAAATGAGGGAGATGGGCCAAAACTGACTTCCAAACTCTTTCCTCTAACAGACCCTAATGTGGACTCCACATGGAATAATAGCTAACACATTGTGAGCATCCACTGTGTGTCCCGCACCACACGAGGTGCAGGCTCCTAGAGTCAGTCACTTTGCTTCATCAACTGCAGGAGGTAGTGCAATACTTATTTGCAACGTACCTGTGACTGCATAGCTTATGTGTAAATGCAGGAGAACTGAGCTTCTGTGATTAAAGTAGGCGGGAAAGGGCAGAGATTGGGCCTTGAGTCCCATTCACTTGTTTACCCATCGCTCCATTGTCTTCTCCAGCTCCCACCCTTCCAGTCCTAAAATTCTGGGGCTTCACTGGGATTCCTCTTTGCCCCATAAGACCTGCCTCAGAGGAGGTGCATCAGGAGCTCGTCCCTCAGGGCACTGGGCTAAAAAGGAGCGTTGGCAGCTCTCGGTTTTAGCCATGGCCCTGCCCACTCAATGCCACTCATGACTTCATTAAAGTAAAACACAACCAAACCACAAAGCACTCTTTTTGTACGTAATAGAAGTATATATATGTATATACACACACACTCCTCTGATTGGTAACTCATGTTAAAAATTGATCTCTTTTTAGTAACAAGGGAAAGAGTAGGCCACAAAACAAAGGAAAATGCCCTTAAAGATAATACAAGTCACAGAAGGAAATATAATGGCAATGCCGTTGAAAGAAGTGTGTGTCTTCTCTGGGAAGGCAGTGGTTGGCTTCAGTACCGGCTTGATTCCCTCGTGCTGGCACTCCTCTCTGCACCAGCCAAGCCACGTGCCTTCCCGCTGGCAGTGCCCCCTGAGCTCCCATATTCCAACTGGGCAAGGTCGGTAGAGCAAATGTAACCCAGCTAACCGTGTGAGAAACAGGTCCCAGTGAAGGATGCTTGAGTAGCATTAGTGCCAAATACCTGTTTTGAGCTATTCTTCCTCTCCTTTGGCTGGATTCTATGTCCCTGTGATTTTGCTCCTGCATTTAGTGAGCTGTAGGATTCCAGGGGAACAAATGGCTCTGTTGTGTCTGCAGACCCGGATAGCCTGCAAGCTCGGACATGTTAGGTCTTGCTTGTGCTAAGAGGAGCGCCAGATGTCAAAAGAGCCAGAGCAGTGTGGGCAGAGAAGGCCTCTCTACACAAGGTGAGGATACTAAACAAGGTAACCATATAGAGACCATGAAAACCAGGCAGGAACTATATGCAAGTTTGTGAAGACAATACTTTTTTATAGAAAACCAGTATAGGGATGTCAAAATGGCAGCTGGCCAACTGTTAACTTACCTCTGCCTGAGGGAGGTGAGGGCAGAGGTGCTCGCGTCCCAGGGCAGCAGGGCCTGTCCCCACACTGACGCACTCCACCAGGGCGAGGTCCTAGCTACGGCCTTCCGTGTCCTGGCAGGTGCTGTGCTCTGCGGTGCAGGACGTGATCAGCTAGGAACACTCGAATCTTTTTCACCAATCTCTTCCTTTTGGGTCGTCTGTTTTTAAAATTTTCTGATATAATCAATTTACAAACATCTCCTCCAATTGTTCAGTTGTTTTCTCTCCTATCAGATTTACAGAGAGTTTCAGGTTACAAACCCTTGACCAGAAAATCCTACTGAAGCATGAGCTCTTCACTCACCCCTCAGTTGGCTAGCTGTCTACTCCACAGGCTTCTCCAAATCATTCAGCTTCTTTCTTTACATTTTTTCAAATCCTTAAACTCCTTTAAGTCACATGGAATAACTTCTTTAAGTCACAAAGACTCTTCCCCCAGATCGTCTTTGTCCCAGTCATCATGACCCAGCAACCATTCTGCCTTCCAGGTCCAACCAATGACTGCTCCATAGGCTTCAAGGACTTTCCCTTAATGATTTGTTTCTAGAAAGGCAACAGAACTCCTATAGGCTCAACAGGCTGGCCAGCTCTTGGAGAATCGGCTCACTGCAGCCTGCTGTGGGAGGGTGGGAAGGTTGTGTTTCTCACTTAGGTGTTGTTTCCTTTGAGCTTGGTCCTGCCATCACATTGCCACAGACCAAGTGGGGCCACATCTTCACCTCTAGCAGGGACGCTGGTGGATTAGTCAGGGCCACTGACCACGCTCCCAACAGACAGTGCTGGGAAGAGGCCGCCTGGGCTGAGCCAGGGCGCCCAACCCGCCCGACTCCTAGTCTAGCTGTCCGGTACCCGCCTGACGACCTGCCATTCCCCGTCTCTTTACCTCCTCCCCATGTTGCCTTGCTCCCAGGATATGTTTGTGTTGTTTTTCTTCTTTTAATTTTTTGTGGCCACCATATTACTTCAGTGTATCAGAATAAACTACAAAATGGAGCAAGGTGGCCCCTGACACCCTTTAATATATGCCAAAGTTCATTAAAAGTTAATGACTTCCTTGGAAAGGTAAGAAGTCAGCCAAGGAGCCAAGCTGACCAGACACCCTCCCAAGCCCACCGCCTCCGCCCTTGACTGCCTGACAGGGAATGAGGGTGAGCTTGCGGGTGGTGAGCTCACCTGAAAGGTCTGCCACCGTTCGGCTCCTAACTGGTCGCTGTGACGCATCTCCTCTTGTTCTTTTTTGACAGATGCAACCTTGACATCTGATAGAAATGTAGACTGAAAAAACTGTAAGGACAGGGCTTATTTTGTTTTTATTGTTCTATCTCAAACAAGTTTCTAATGTCCTGTGCCTTCGCTGTCACTGGAAGAAGTGAGCTGCCACTGCTTCTTGCTAATTGCCCAACTCCTGACCCTTTTGGAGGGATTCAAAATAGTCTGTAAATTAAAACACCTCGAAATTAAAAGCAAACGTCTGGATGTGATTTAACTGTACCCACATGCATTATTAGTGCAGCGATGATTAGATTCAACGTAAACGTTATATTCAGCTCCTATGAAAGCAGAGTAGATTGAGTTAAGTTGTTATAACTGGTTCACTGAATTTGGAAGGTTTTTTTTTTTTTTAAGTGAAATTAAATTCTCCCCCATTTCATGCAGCTGCGTTTCTCCTTTTCTGGGCCTTTGCATAAGTTGCCTTTGTAAATAGAATCGTCCTTTGGCTTGTAGGGGTCATTTTAATATAAATTTATACTTGCCCAGTTTTTTAAATTGCATTATAAATATAGAAGCTGTAGGTGTGATTTTTGACCATGCTGTTTGAGCATAAGAATGCTTGCAAAAGGTTCACTACTTATGAAAACCCACAGAGTGGCCTACCCTAGAGCCCAGTCTTCCAGCGACTTAACAACCTGCATTAGGGAGAGTATGGGAGACGGGAGGGGGCAGGGACTCTGCGGTTCTGCCAAAGCACAAGGAAATAGCTTCCCCTCAGCTGGTAGATGCCCTTTAGTATTTCAAAATATTTTATAAGTGCTTTTTTACTTGTTGATTTTAGAGAAAGAGAGAGCAAGGGAGAAAGAAACTTCACTCTGTTGTTCCACTTATTCATTGGTTGATTCTTGTATGTAAGCTGACCAGGGATTGAACCCACAACCTTGGCGTATTGGGATGACACTCTGACCAACTGAGCTACCCAGCCATGGCCTATAAATTTTATCTGATGCTAAAGGAATATAGTTCTTCATGTGAATAGCATCCTAATTGGAGATTAACTCCTGTTTGTTTATGAGAAGAAAGTAACACACAGTCAAGATAGAAAATTTGGAAATTATAAGCAAGAATGAAAAGGCAGAAGAAAATGGCATCTGTCTTCCCATCAAACAGATGATAATTTGGGTGTGTTCGTGCTAAACATTTTATACAGTTGAAATTGCACCTTTTATATTCACTTTTTCTCTGTTTATTTTACTTTTAAAATTGAAATAAAATTCATATAACAAAATTTCACATAAAGCTCACCATTTAAAGTATACAATTCCATTTTTTAAAGCATATTCACAAGATTGTGCCACCATTCCAACTATCCAATTCCAGGACATTTTCATTGTTCCCAGAAGAACACATCCAACCCCACACAGTCCCTTCCAATTTCCTCCTTCCCCCTGGCCCTAGCCAGCTACTAATCTACTTTCCATCTTTATAGGTTTGCCTATTCTAGACATTTCACAGAAGTGGAAGCATGATTGTGGCCTCTGTGCCTGGC